AACGCCATCTCTTGATTGTGCTACAGACATTGAGAAATCATAAGTTGTATGCTAAGATGAGTAAATGTGAGTTATGGATAAAGGAAGTGAAATACCTTGGCCATGTTATGTTAGAAAAGAGTGTAGTTGTTGACCCCGCAAAGATTGAAGTCATAATAAAATGGGAACCACAGAGGAATGTGACTGAAATATGTAGTTTTTTGGGATTAGCAGGCTACTACCGGAGGTTTGTGGAAGGGTTCTCAAAACTAGCGATGCCAATGACTCGCCTTACGAAGAAGGGGGAAAGATTCTTGTGGACTCAAGAGTGTGAGCTAGCTATTCGCACCTTGAAGGAAAGGTTGACAACAGCTCCTGTCCTCATTATTTCGAGTAGTGGAGAANATGACAACTCCTGTCCTCATTATTTCGAGTAGTGGAGAAGGATACAATGTTTATACCGATGCTTCGTTACAAGGCTTGAGATGTGTGCTAATGCAAAAAGGTAAAGTAGTTACTTATGGCTCGAGGCAACTCAAGATTCATGAGTAGAACTATCCCATTCATGACTTGGAGCTTGCCGCCGTGGTTTTTGCTCTTAAGTTGTGGAGGTGTTACCTTTATGGAGAAAAGTTTCAAGTGTTTTTATATTATAAGAGCCTCAAGTATATCTTTACATAGAAATACTTGAATCTTCGACAAAGAAAATGAATTGAAAATCTAGAAGACTATGATTTTACACTCAACTACCATCTGGGGAAGGCTAATGTAGTAGCAGATACACTTAACTGAAAGTCTTGGGGCAAAATCAATGTTCTTACTGTTCATAGGTGGAAGATGATTGATGTTTTGGAGGAGTTTGATCTATTGGTGGATAGACAGGAAGATCGACCATGCTTATTTAATCTTGTAGCTCAACCAATTCTCCGAAAAAGGATTGTGGAGTTACAACAATTATATACCGAGTTGAAAACTATCCAAGGTAGATTGGAAAGGAATGAGGCTGTTGAGAATTGGTCTATACATGATGATGAGTTACAATTTCGTGGAAAGTTATGTGTACCAAACAATGACCAAATAAGGGAAGAAGTGTTGGGTGAGTGTCATCGTTCAAAATTTTTCATACATCCGGGTAGTACTAAGATGTATAGAGACATGAAACGTCAATATTGGTGAAAAGGGATGAAATAAGACGTGACTAAGTATGTTGCCAGGTGCACAATGTGTCAACAAGTGAAGGTAGAACATCAAAAATTCGGAGGATTACTACAGTCTTTGCCTATTCCAGAGTGGAAGTGGGATCACATCACCATGAATTTCGTATTTAGTTTTCCACATACTTCACACGGACATAATGTCGTATGGGTCATTGTAGATAGACTTACCGAGTCTGCTAATTTTTTGAGTATGAAGATCACTGACTCCTTAGAGACTTTGAGCAAGCTTTACATCCGTGAGATTGTTAGATTACATGGAGTTCCACTCTCTATCGTGTCGGATTGTGATTCTCGATTTGTGGTACAATTTTGGCAAAGTCTACAACGAGCTATGGGGACAGAGTTACACTTTAGCACCTCCTTTCATCCTTAAACAAATGGCCAATCCGAGAGGGTGATACAGATCTTGGAGAATATGTTACATGCTTGTGTGTTGGACTTCAAGGGAAGTTGGAGTGATCATTTGCCATTGGTGGAATTTGTATATAACAACAGTTTTTAATCTAGCATCGACATGACACCTTATGAGGCATTGTATGGAAGACCATGTAGGTCCCCGACTTGTTGGTTTGGAAGTTGGAGAGAGTAGCTTGTTTAGGCCATAAATTGTTCGGGAGACTACGGAGAAAATTTAACTCATCCGAGATAGACTACGCACGGCACAAAGTAGACAGAAAAGTTATGAGAATAGAAGACGGAGACCATTGGATTTCCAAGAGGGGTACTATGTGTTCCTCAGGTGTCACCCAAGAAGGGAAAATTAGCTCTAATGTACATCGGACCATTTGAAGTGATCAAAGCTATGGGCAAAGTGGTGTAACAACTTCGGTTACTAGCTCAGTTGTCAAGGGTGCATGACGTATGTTTCAATGTTAAGAAAGTGTCAATCAGATACAACACATGCAGTGGATTTGGAGGATATTGAAGTTCAAGATGGAGCAACATATGAAGAACAACCGGTGAAGATTCTTGATACCAAGGACAAAAGGCTTCGCAATAAAGTAATCCAACTGGTGAAAGTCTTGTGGCAACATCACGGGGTGGAGGAAGCTACTTGGGAACCAGAGTTGGAGATGCGAGAGAAGTACCCTCATTTTTTCTCTACTTAAGGTAAGTTTCGAGGACGAAACTTTTTTTAAGGGGGGTGGATTGTAAACCCCCACATTCTATTCTGTATATAGCAACGTAATTATGTTTTGAAATGCTAATATATGTAATGATGTAGGCATGAACTAGGTGGATTGTAAGAGTAGAGATAAAATGTTAGTTGAGGTAATAGGGTGTGTTGTAGAATTTTGGAAGTAATCAGGAGTGAAAACACATTTTAGACAAAATTTGGGTAGAAAAGATTTTGGACACTACTTAGTATTTAGACCATAACTTTGTATTCTGATGTCCATTTGATATGAAATTTTTATAGTAGATAGTAGACTTCTAGTTCTACAAAAGTGTATTGCATGAAAACTTTCCAAATCGACCTCTACATAGGCCAAAACTTCACTGGAAGTTTCAACAGAAACAAGAAGTCCGTTCGAACGTGAAATGACGTTCGAACGAAAGTGCATTCCAGTACTTTTTGTCTGATGGAAAAACAAAAGTACTGGAAGCAAAGGACGTTCGAATGCCAATGACGTTCGAACGTGGGTTACGAGTTCTGATTTTTAGAATCGTGCACATGACACTATTTTCTTTCCCTATAAATACATAAGGGCGCCTCCTTTAGCCTCCATACACCATATACAACCCTAGAAAGCCTTGAGAAACAAGAAAGAAAGGAGAAAACACAAGATCAAAGAGGATTTTCACTTCAAAGTGGATTAAAATCTCAAGTTCTTCTAGAGCACTAAGGAAGAAGAAGGTAGGAGTTTCTTCCTATTCTCTTACATTGAGGTTAGGACTTATATATATGTATGTTTTGACTATAAATCCTATTTATTTGTTAGTAAATCATTGATTCTTGATATTCTTGCAAACACTATCATGTTTTAAACGAAGTTATGGTTGGGTAGCCATGAAATTTCTTCTATTTGACTCAAAACCCTAGTTTTCAAGAGAAATAGATTTTTCTCTTGATTTTTCCTTTGTTCTTGATTTCAAAACTTTAGTACTTTGTATTGAACAACAAAATAGTATTTATGATGATCTCTTGCATTTTTCTTCAATTATTCTATTGTGATACTATATGTGAAATTTGGGGATTTTGAATTTTGTTTGAAAATTTGAGAAATTGGTTAGATATTGTATCTCTTGTGGATGTTTAGATGACCATGGGTGGCCGTTGACCGGGTATCGTAGAGTGGATAGATGCATTTTTTACTCCGTGCGGGTTTGAATTTTTCTTACCACTCGTAGTGGGGTTGGTGCCTTGTGAGGACCAAACCACTATTCGCTCACAGGTACCGAGGATGAGGGTTAGTATACTATTCATGGGTTGGATTCGTTACTGCCATTGTGTTGGTATACGCCCTTTCTAAAAGTTGGATATCCTTGCGAGGATTGGGTGTGTGAGTTTGGGCTAGGATATTTTCGATGTGTTTATTCATGCGATATCTTACATCATACCTGAGATACATTATGGATTATTGCTTATTGTACAAGTGGTCAGTTATGGCTTATTTTTGAAATTGTTATTTATAACGAAAGTGGTTTATTGTGAAAATGATCGTGGTGGAATTAGTAACTTGATGGTATTCTTATCGTTGTGAATTGATTTTACTCTTTCATTTAATTATTGCTATTGTATAAACTTGAGATCGAATTGCCCCTATTTTCTCTCAAAAGCTATGTCTATGATATTTGTAAAATGAGACCGACTGATTTATATGTTTTCTAAACCTTGTTCGAGTTTGGGAGGATGTTTTTACAGAGCTTTGTACTCACCCCCTACAAATAACATATTTTTCAGATTATGTGTTAGAGGATTAGCTCATAGTAGATGTGTAGGCACATTGAAAAGCTCCAATAGATGGGAACGTGGATCCCAAGATGGATGTATAGAATTATATTCTCTTTTGTCCTAGACTAGGAAAATTTATTTTGAGACAATGTGAAGTCTAATAAATTGTTATTCTGCTGTATGATTAAGCTAATTTTTTTGGGATGTAATTGCCATAGTCTGACATACTCTTTTGATATTATGGCCATGGTTTGACATATTCTTTTGGGAAGATATTGTACATATTAAATATGATGAATGAAATTTTCTTATTTGATGGATTTTATTAGTTGATCTCATGATGTGATTGGTATTTAGATAGTAATGTCGTCCAAGATGACTTTTAGGGCGTTACAATATTAAGATGGATTTGTCATTGAGAATTAAGCTCCTTTCAATATCAAATCTTATTAATTTCAATCAAATCAATCATTTATTAATAAATTTATTCATATCATTAATAGGTTGGTTCGAGGAGGTTTTCCTCAAACCCATGCCCCATGAAAACTTATTTCCATAACCCAGTCACTTTTAAACATAATTGTCAAATCTAGTCTTTTTTTGAAAACGTCATTCTCAATGACGATTTTAACTTTGAATTTTTTGGCTCAAAATGTCAATAGAAATGACGTTTTATTAAAAAAAATTTCAAAAGACTGCTAACGGGCGTTAAAAAAAATTTGGAGGTAAAAAACGTCATTTTCCAATGACGTTTTGAAATACCTTGTATCAAATTTTTTAAAACCACACTCCCTCTCTGTCGCATCTCTCTTTCTTATATCACTTTCTCCCGATCAATCCTCACAAGCTCGATCAGATCCCCACAAGCGCGATCAAATCCCCTCTATCAATCAGATCCCATCTTTCGCTCAGATCTGTTTCTCAGATCTCTTGTGCTCGTCATCTGCCATCCAGTAGCAGACCCGCATCTTCTCTGACGAGGAATCCAAGTTTGACGAAGAGGTACACTCCGGTGGTCCTCTCTCCATTTCTCTGGTGATGATTTCTTTGGTTTTGCTCTCTCCATTTCTTCCGGTATTATTCACCCCGTATGTGTTAAAATATACTACATGTATACTTAATGTATGGTATAGTACTGGAGTTTGGGATATAATGTATGGTATAGTACCGGTTGCATCCCTTTTGGTTTCCAAGAGAACCCATTCAAATTTTCCAAGAGAACCCATTCAAACTATTGTTGGGAGATTAGAGTGTACCATTTTTTTTCTTTGGTGGGTATATTATTATTAGGCATTAGCCCCCCGATAAGGATTGCAAGAGTTTGGAAGGCTCAAAATCGAGATGCATTTTTGCGGTTATATGGTTTTGCTGGGTTTTTTTTTCTTAAATGATCTGACCACTAGATTAATTGGAAATTTTGTGTACTATTTATGTAATTTCATGTTGATTATATAGATGCATTTGTAGAGATTCGTTTGTTTTAAGGGTTTGTTGGGTTTTGTTATCAAATGATATTGGTTTTATGGTTACATTGATTTGTTTGGTTTATTGCTGGGGTTACATAGATTAGTATGTTTTATGGATTTATGGTTTGCTGGGTTTTGTCATCGTAGTCACTGGAAAGAATTGGACAAAGCCAATAATTTTTTGGTTCCTTTATAATCAGTCTTTGCACGTATAAAACATGCACGATGGAACCACATTTCTGATCACCTTCCTTAATGTGTCATCCATATTCAAAAGAATAGGAAAAAAACTTGCTCAATGGATAAAAAAACGCATAAATATCTGGAAGGTAAACCTTCAAAAGTGGACTTTTATTCACGATTTATATCTAATCGAACAAAAGGGGACATAAGATACATTCACATGACAATTGTTAGGAAATTCTATTTCCCCAAGAGTTGGCCAATCCACTCTCCCAACCACAAAAACCACCACTCACCAACCCAAGTAAGCCATACTCATACAAACACTGATTTCACAAAAAACCACTCAAAAATTATTTCAGCAACCTTATCATTGATTCAATCGATAATCCCTTCTAATTATATTCCACTACACAAAACCAATGATAGTATGATTCAATGAAACTAACCCACAGTATCACACAAATTTCCACTTGTTTAGTTAATCATCCACATATGCACATTCATAAACATTAACCTTAGCTAATACGAATCAAAGGAAAAAACTCACCCACAATCTAAACATACAGAGATTCAGCTAATTGATGCTACGATCAAACTCAACCCTATAAAAAATCCAAACTGTAACCCAATTAGTCCAATATCATCCAGCATTAACTACTCCCTTCACGAAACTAAATATACATACTCAAATCTTCAAATCATATATTGCAAGATATCGATTTATTAGGTTAGATTGACGCGCTCAATGGAGCGTGTGAAAAAAGTGGCTCAGTCAATCATGTCAAGTGAAGTGAGTGCGTGTCGGGTCTGGAGGAATTCGTGTAAAAAAATATTTTATTATTTTTATCCAATTTGTTTATCAATTTGTGTTGTGAATTTCTTTTAATTGATTTTATTTATACCTAATTTATTTATTAATTGTGTCGGTTCAATTCCACTTGTGTACTAAATGTGTAACTTAAGAAATACTCAAACCCTATAATTTTATATCATATTCATTAACGGATCGTGTTATATCTTGATAACCCTAATTATGATAATGGTTTTGTGTGTTTTTTTTTGGTCATGGGTTTGGTTTGGTGATTCAAACACTTGTTTTAGGCGTGTAGGGTTAGACTTGTTTAATGAACTACATAAAGCTAGTATCTAATTACTCTTTCAAAAACTATATATAGGTTGAAGTGCCAAAAAAGTACTTGATGCAAAAGCCCAACTGGGATATAATCTATGTAACTTTGAACTTGATAAAAGGTCCAACTCATTGCATTCAAAGTAAATAGCATTCATATGGACCATCATTATCCCAAAACATGATTAGAGAATATTTGTTTGTGTATGTATAATATGGATACACCAATTTACTTGCCAAAGGAAATGCACATATCTAAGTATGCTTTATTACTTGGATGACTTCTACAACTTTGAAGGCAGTAGTTCTAATGAACTATCTTGTCAAGAATAATAAAAGCATTAAGAGAACACAACCAATAGTGCTAACCACTAAACATGATTAGAGAAATATGAGTTGTTTGGTCTTATTTTGTGAAAAATATTGTGTTTGTTTGAGTTGGTTAATTTATGTGACCCAATCATAAATGACTCTCACTCTTATGTCACCATATTTCTTTCTTTCATTCTCTCTTTTCCTCTTACTATTTTAAAGACTTAATCTTTTTTATCTCTTCCTTGTGTTTATATTTTATTATTCTGGTCCCTAAATAATTCAAGGATACCCGGACAGGAGTCTCTGGAGGACTAAGTTCTGGACACCATGCAGGATATGTAAAAGCCAGTTTATTTTAAGCTCTATACTCCCAGCAGGATATGTACAAGCAAGTTTATTTTCATATTCATTTTCGTATGGACTCCTTGCACTCTTAATAATGCTCTCAGTCACATGCTACTCCTCTCTCCCCCCAAGAGAAGAGTAGAAGTCAGGTCCTCCATCTATGCAGAGTGGTATCCAGTATTACTTGTCTATCTTGTGTGAATTTTCTAGGTATTTATGTACAACAACATACAAGATGCTGAACACATACATTCCCAACACTCATTATTCTCAAATATTAGGAAATGATCAAAGTATTCCACTAACTCTTGCAATGATGTAGCCAAAGCTTTATCTAGAGCCAATTGTGAGTGAACACTACCACCCAGCGAAGTTTCACTGTCTTGTTCTAAAACGTGACTTTGGTCATTGGTTTTGACCATAATCAAAACTTATTCCATTGTTCTTGACATTTTCTTGAAGTGAATGGTAAGATTCCAAATTTATATTGTGGCCTATGGAGTTGACTGAGTACGATTTAATTGGTTGTATCGTAAATGACATCTAATGTATTTTNTTTATGTAATTTCATGTTGATTATATAGATGCATTTGTAGAGATTCGTTTGTTTTAAGGGTTTGTTGGGTTTTGTTATCAAATGATATTGGTTTTATGGTTACATTGATTTGTTTGGTTTATTGCTGGGGTTACATAGATTAGTATGTTTTATGGATTTATGGTTTGCTGGGTTTTGTCATCGTAGTCACTGGAAAGAATTGGACAAAGCCAATAATTTTTTGGTTCCTTTATAATCAGTCTTTGCACGTATAAAACATGCATGATGGAACCACATTTCTGATCACCTTCCTTAATGTGTCATCCATATTCAAAAGAATAGGAAAAAAACTTGCTCAATGGATAAAAAAACGCATAAATATCTGGAAGGTAAACCTTCAAAAGTGGACTGTTATTCACGATTTATATCTAATCGAACAAAAGGGGACATAAGATACATTCACATGACAATTGTTAGGAAATTCTATTTCCCCAAGAGTTGGCCAATCCACTCTCCCAACCACAAAAACCACCACTCACCAACCCAAGTAAGCCATACTCATACAAACACTGATTTCACAAAAAACCACTCAAAAATTATTTCAGCAACCTTATCATTGATTCAATCGATAATCCCTTCTAATTATATTCCACTACACAAAACCAATGATAGTATGATTCAATGAAACTAACCCACAGTATCACACAAATTTCCACTTGTTTAGTTAATCATCCACATATGCACATTCATAAACATTAACCTTAGCTAATACGAATCAAAGGAAAAAACTCACCCACAATCTAAACATACAGAGATTCAGCTAATTGATGCTACGATCAAACTCAACCCTATAAAAAATCCAAACTATAACCCAATTAGTCCAATATCATCCAGCATTAACTACTCCCTTCACGAAACTAAATATACATACTCAAATCTTCAAATCATATATTGCAAGATATCGATTTATTAGGTTAGATTGACGCGCTCAATGGAGCGTGTGAAAAAAGTGGCTCAGTCAATCATGTCAAGTGAAGTGAGTGCGTGTCGGGTCTGGAGGAATTCGTGTAAAAAAATATTTTATTATTTTTATCCAATTTGTTTATCAATTTGTGTTGTGAATTTCTTTTAATTGATTTTATTTATACCTAATTTATTTATTAATTGTGTCGGTTCAATTCCACTTGTGTACTAAATGTGTAACTTAAGAAATACTCAAACCCTGTAATTTTATATCATATTCATTAACGGATCGTGTTATATCTTGATAACCCTAATTATGATAATGGTTTTGTGTGTTTTTTTTTGGTCATGGGTTTGGTTTGGTGATTCAAACACTTGTTTTAGGCGTGTAGGGTTAGACTTGTTTAATGAACTACATAAAGCTAGTATCTAATTACTCTTTCAAAAACTATATATAGGTTGAAGTGCCAAAAAAGTACTTGATGCAAAAGCCCAACTGGGATATAATCTATGTAACTTTGAACTTGATAAAAGGTCCAACTCATTGCATTCAAAGTAAATAGCATTCATATGGACCATCATTATCCCAAAACATGATTAGAGAATATTTGTTTGTGTATGTATAATATGGATACACCAATTTACTTGCCAAAGGAAATGCACATATCTAAGTATGCTTTATTACTTGGATGACTTCTACAACTTTGAAGGCAATAGTTCTAATGAACTATCTTGTCAAGAATAATAAAAGCATTAAGAGAACACAACCAATAGTGCTAACCACTAAACATGATTAGAGAAATATGAGTTGTTTGGTCTTATTTTGTGAAAAATATTGTGTTTGTTTGAGTTGGTTAATTTATGTGACCCAATCATAAATGACTCTCACTCTTATGTCACCATATTTCTTTCTTTCATTCTCTCTTTTCCTCTTACTATTTTAAAGACTTAATCTTTTTTATCTCTTCCTTGTGTTTATATTTTATTATTCTGGTCCCTAAATAATTCAAGGATACCCGGACAGGAGTCTCTGGAGGACTAAGTTCTGGACACCATGTAGGATATGTAAAAGTCAGTTTATTTTAAGCTCTATACTCCCAGCAGGATATGTACAAGCAAGTTTATTTTCATATTCGTTTTCGTATGGACTCCTTGCACTCTTAATA